TCTCTCTATCTCTACTCACTGTTATCACTCTTTGTCAGATCCAACCGCTCCACCACGAACTCGCTCGATTTTTCGAATAAGAACCCGCCGATAGATCCATCGAAAAGCCCTCGATCATACGAGCATTTTGACCCCATCGCCGACCGCATACCCCGTGTGGTGGTGGAGTTATCCAGCCAAACGTGAACCAGACGTCGTTCGGAACTCCTGCGTGGGATTATCCCCCATTCTCCCCTACCACACCACAACCCCGGGCCAAATTGCCATACAAATTGTAAGGTGAAGAGACCTAGCCGTATGCACCAATCTTCTTGATTTTGGAAGATCCCCGATCTGTAGTTGTGGAGATATCTGAGGAGCGACCTCCGTGAAAACCCTGTCCATCTTTGATGTTTCAAAACACCAACACCAAGTCCCACCCTTGTACCGCCCTTCCCAATCTGGCCCATCCCCAGCAGAAAAATACAAAAAGATACCTTGGTGATAATATCAAGCACATAATCAATGAACAATGAGTCAACAGCACATCAACAACTATAAAATCAGTATACTTCAAGATCTGACTGAGCCTTTGATCCCTGCACAGTAAGATATATTAAATCTAGTTTTAATATCTCAATATTCAATAGATTCTGTAAGAGATTGAGAACAGCAACACTAGATTTCTATTAAATTTGAGAATTAACTCTATATTGATATAATCATTGACAAAGTCTTCTATTTTGAGATATAAATTACCAGTTCCTCTACATTCTGCTGACAATATTTATATTATTATATAGAAATAGACTTATATTCTCTATAATATCAAGACTCTGAAGAGGAAAAGTCTTGATAAAGAGTATATAGTAGTGCATATCTTAGCAGTTTCTATCTCATTCTTCTGCAGCAGTCAATGCATAAAAAAAAAGATCTTAGAAATAGTTGTTTACTTCTCTTGAAAAAGTAACATGTTTTTCTCTGAGTTTTATATAATATTCTTACAAAGAATTAAAAACAGAGCTGTTTTCTGTCATAATTTCATCTTCTTTTAAGTAAGAATTACTTTTTCAGTGACTGAAGAGCTTTTATTAATACTTAATTCTTTTTTACACTCTTTATTAACTGATTTGAGTTGCACACTTGTTGTGTGAGAAGAATTGAATAATTTAGAATAAAATTGAATAGTTTTAATCAATTTCTCTGTAAAAAATTAATTTATTTTTTATCAGTTTTTCTCTCAAAAAGTGTCATATTATCTGATTTATTATCAATTGATATTATACTTTTCCTCACTGTATCTCAAGAAAGAGATTGTAAAGATTTTATTGATTTATCTCAAAAATCAATTTTAGTTTATTAGATTCTCTTCAAAAATCTAATCTAGTTACTGAACTAGTGTGAAAAAAATCAGATGTTTTATATATAAAAGTCTTTTATTCTTCTTTTGAAACAGTCTGATCAACTTTTCAATTGAAAACAGACTTAGAAATATTTCAATTGAAACAGTCTGATCAACTTTTCATTGAGTGAAAACAATGAGTTTAAAAATACACTCAGTTAATATGGAAAAAGATGCTTTCTCAAATGCTATTTCTGAGATTGAAATTCTGAAGAGAAGAAAGAAAGAAGAAATAGAGAAATAACAAGTTCTTGAAATACAGAAACTTGAAAAAGTAAGCAAGATTCTTGAAAAGCAGTGTCTGAGTGAGATGAATGAAGAAGTTCTGTTAATTCTTCATACTCAGACTAGATAACTACAGAAGATGATCAAGTTCAAACTTGAAATCTCAAACACAGTTTAAAAAACATTGAAAATTTCTAGTATAATTACTGACTCTTCATCTTACTCTTCTTCTTTCTTTTTTTCTACTTCTTCTTCTTCTTTGAATCAGAAGAAAACATATACTCAAGTAGCTGAATCTGCTATCTCTAAATCTGCTGTCTCAAAACCTGCTCAAAATTCTGAGAAAACTGAGAAGAATACTGCTCATGCCCCTATTGATAGAAAAGTGAAAAAGAAAATGTAAAAAGAGAAAAACTTTCAAATCTTCAGAAATAGAAGACTTATTCTCAAAGTCTCAAATCAGAATATTCTGCAAAGAAACAAGCTAAACTTATATCTCATTTTCAGAATTAGAAATGAAATTAATCAGTAGTTCTTTTCTCAGTTGATGACTGATATTGAAGTTTAAAAATCAGTTATAGCTTCAATTAAGTCATTATTCTTTGAAAACTTCATCATTCTG